AGGGCTTAACTCCTCAAAGATGCTTTTTTGTTTTGTTTTGTTTTGTTTTTTGACATGGAGTCTTGCTCTGTCACCCAGGCTGGAGTGCAGTGGTGCGATTTCAGCTCACTGCAACCTCCACCTCCCTGGTTCAAGCGATTCTCCTGCCTCAGCCTCCTGAGTAGCTGGGATTACAGGTGCGCGCCAGGCTATTTTTTGTATTTTTAGTAGAGACGGGGTTACACCATGTTGGCCAGGCTGGTCTCGAACTGCTGACCTCATGATCCGCCCACCTCAGCCTCTCAAAGTGCTGGGATTACAGGCGTGAGCCACCGCACTGGGCCTCAAAGATGCTTCCTCTGATCACTGAAGCCCACTACGGTCTCTCCATAAATGAGAATTACTACAGCATGTGTTTACTTCACGTCTATTATTACTCGTCCCCCAACCCCTGTAGGCTGTAAACTCGGAAAGAGCACGGGCTTTAAAATTAGGCAGATCGAAGTTCAAATTCCATTTCCACCACTCACTATCAGTATAACTTTGGCCCAATAGCTCTGGGCTTGTTCCCCTAACTCACTGGGGGTGTTTAACAGATGAAACGGGATATCTTTCATAAAACATCTAGTACTGCAACTTGCGTAGAGTAGACAGTGGCATTTTCTCTCCCTCAAGGAAAAAGGTCCCACTGTACCTAAAAAGCAGATGGCCAGGGGCAGACATTCAGTAATTGTCAGTTTACTTCAGACAACACATTCTGACCTAAGGGCAAAAAAACATTTTTTCAACCAGTTCAAGCTCGCCAACGATCCCGATCTGGGGGGTGAAGGTGAAAGTTTTCAAATTGAACAAAAAAGATTCCTCGTCAAACCCGAAGACGCTGGGTCACACTGCTTGGCTGCATACCAGATTCCAATGTCTGCAAACTTTGTAGACTTGCCACCAGGAACTTCAGGGACAGGACCTGACTGCTAGACGAAGCTGTGGCCTTGTCCAGATCCTCACCAATCTCTCCCGACCCGGAGAGGACTGACCGACAGACACATCTTCCTCCCCTGCCTCTCACCTCGGCCCCCTCATCCCACAGTCAGTCGGGCCCGCGCGCCCCAGGGTCGTCCCAGAGGAGGAACGCGCCCCTCACCATCCCGGTCCCAGAGCCAGGGGAGACTCACTGCCGAAGTCTTTGGCCTGGTGGAGGAGCTCCTGGTCTCCCGTTTGCTGCAGCTCCTCCTCCGCGGACTCAGCCACCGTCTCGGATGGCTGCTCGGGTGGAGCGTCTGCATTGGGCTGCCCACCGCCTGCCGCCGGCTGCTGCAAGCCCAGCCAACTGCTCAAGCCCCGGAACATCCCGTCCGCGGGGCCGCCGCCGCGGTCCGGATCCCCAGAGACCGGAGCGAGGGCTGGTTGCCTCTGACTCCACTCTGCGCGACTCTCAGGGAGATGTCCGGAAGTCGGAGGAAAACGGGAGTCGCCTGCGGCCCCGCCTCTATGACGACTCCGCCGCGGCTGCATAAGCGTCACTTCCGTCCAAAGGCTCCGCCCCTGGTGACGTCAGTTGTGACAACTGTTTTGTGCGTGTGGATAGGGGACAAAGAGCTTTCCCAGCGTAGCCCCGCCTTGCCTTTTTCCTCATTCGCCGGCTTTGTAGGTGACTGACCTAGTAGGCGTGTAGACGGTGTCTTTGTCGAAGTCCTAGCCAGTCTCATTTTAAGACTACCTCTAAGCAGCTTGGCTGGTGAGTTAGCCTCGCCTTTTCAGGTCCCGCAGGGCTGAGTTCCCGCGGAATTGGACGTCTTTAGCCCCTCCTGAGCCCAACTGAAAACTAACCCAAAGCTGCCAAGCCCAACTAACAGGGAATAAGAGAACAGAATAAGGTGTTAAACAACACAATGGGATGCTGTCAGCAGAATCTAGACTATGAGAAGCCACAGGACAGACAACCTTGTTTCTTCAAATAAATTGCAAGGAAGAGGGGGGTGTGGTGGGGAACCTATAGATTAAAAAAGACTTAAGAGATGTAACCCATGGCCCCTTGTGCATTTTATTAGGACCCTAATTCAGCAAACACATTGAAAAAAATAGTATGATACTTATAAGAACTGGAAATTTGGACACTGGATAGTTGATAAAATGGAGGAATTGTGAAATTAAAAATTTTTAATTGTGGTAAAATACACAAAATTTACCATCTTAATATGATTTACCACCTTAACCATTTCTAAGTGTACAATTCACTACTGTTAAGTACATTCACGTTGTTGTGAAATGAATATTCAGAACTCTTCATCTTGCAATTAAAAGAATGAAAAATAGACCGGGCACGGTGACTCACGCCTGTAATCCCAGCACTTTGGGAGGCCGAGGCGGGCGGATCACAAGGTCGGGAGTTCGAGACCATCCTGCCTAACACGGTGAAACACCATCTCTACTAAAAATGCAAAAAAAATTAGCCGGGCATGGTGGCGGGTGCCTGTAGTCAGCTACTTGGGAAGCTGAGGCAGGAGAATGGCGTGAACCCGGGAGGCGGAGCTTGCAGTGAGCTGAGATCAAGCCATTGCACTCCAGCCTGGGTGACAGAGCGAGACTCCGTCTCACAAAAAAAAGAAAAAAAAAAAAGAATGAAAAATAGAAAGAACTTCATCTTGCAAAACTGAAACTACCTATTAAACAATTCCCCATTCCTGTCCTTGTCATCCCCCTCCTACCTCCATTCTACTTCTTGTCTCTGTGGGTCTGACTAGATACCTTAATATAAGTGGAATCATTCAATATTTGTCTGTGACTGGCTTCTTTCACTTAGCATAATGTCCTCAAGGCTGTGTCAATTTCTTTCTAAGACTGAATAGTATTCCCTTGTATGTATACACCACGTTTTGTTTATCCATCGCGTGTATTGAGATTTTACCAAAGAAATGATACCATATCTGGGCCAGGCGCGGTGGCTCACACCTGTAATCCCAGCGCTTTGGGAGGCCGAGACGGGTGGATCACCTGAGGTTAGGAGCTTGAGACTAGCCCGACCAACATGGTGGAACCCCGTCTCTACTAAAAATACAAAAAGTTAGCCAGGCGTGGTGGCGGGTGCCTGTAATCCCAGCTACTCGGGAGACTGAGGCAGGAGAATCACTTGAACTCAGGAGGCGGAGGTTGCAGTGAGCTGAGATCCTGCTGTTGCACTCCAGCCTGGGCGACAAGAGCAAAACTCCGTAAAAAAAAAAAAAAAAAAAAAAAGAAATGATACCATGTCTGGAATTTGCTTCAAATTAATACAGGATGCGGGTGGGGGGGAATGGGTAGGGATATAGATGAAACAAGCCTGGCCATGGGTTGAAGTTGGGTAATTAAACATTTGTCTTTTCTATATATTTAACTTTTCCCACAATAGCATGTAAAACTGACAAAAAACTAGTGATGTGAGTAAGTACCGCTTCAGAGCAGGGAGTTCATGGACGCATTTCCCAAGCACAGTCTGCAGTCATTAGTTGTGGAAGGACATCCATGATTCCTTGGTCCCCAGCTATTTTGAGAAGAGGAGGATGGTTCCAGTGACCTGAGGGAGTACATGAGGAATTGATTACAACTCTGATTTCCCTGCTGTCCAGTTTTCCAGCCTGACTTATATGTACATTTTATTCAGGTCCAGGATTTTAGATTATCAAGCCCAACCTGTTTTTTCCTTCCCCCAAACAGCTTTATTGAGATTTAAACAATTCACCTGTCTAAAGTGTACAATTCAATGGTATATATTTTTGGTATATTACACTATTAATATTTTAAATTGTAGTGAACATAACTTTTTTTAGTGTACAGTTCAGTGACATTAATGACATTCCAGCCTGTTTTTAGAGTCCAAGTATTGATTCAGCTTTGAAGTCAGGAGATGTCTTAGGATCAATGCCTTTCTAGGCTTTATTAAGTCAGTGAGAACCTGAAAGTGATTGCGACTTTCCAGAATAGGATATTTGCTTCAAGTATGATTGAACAGAGCCTGGAATTTGAGTGAGAAGCCTAGGATGGGCTTCTAATTCCATCATCTAGTAGGTGAATAAACTTGACAATTTTTTTTTTTGTTTGTTTGTTTTTTGTTTTTGGGACAGAGTCTTGCTCTGTCTTGCCCAGGCTAAAGTGCAGTGGCACAATCTCGGCTCACTGTATCCTCTGCCTCCTGGGTTCAAGCGATTCTCCTGCCTCAGCCTCCCAAATAGCTGGAATTACAGGCGCCTGCCATCACACCTGGCTAATGTTGTGTTTTTAGTAGAGACGGGGTTTCACCATGTTGGCCAGGCTGGTCTCGAACTCCTGATCTCAGGTGGTCCACCCACCTCGGCCTCCCAAAGTGCTGGGATTACAGGAGTGAGCCACCGTGACCGGCCTAAACTTGATGTTTTACTTGTCTTTTTGCCCTTCAAGTTTCCTCACTTGCAAAAGAAGTATGGTCCTTCCCATAGCAGAGGTGGGGCCCAGTCCTTTCAGCCTTACTCTGCTTTATCTTAAGGTACACTTAAAATCGTGGTGAACACTGTGGTCACCAAGGGATAGACAGTTTTACAACTGTTCTGAAAGGTAGAATTCTTAAAAATAAGAGATTAGGCTGGGCACAATGGCTCATGCCTATAATCCCAGCACTTTGTGAGGCCAAGGTGGGAGGATTGCTTGAGTCTAGGAGTTTGAGACCAGCCTGGGCAACATAACGAGACCCTGTCTACACAAAAAATAAAAAATGAGCTGGGTGTAGTGGCTTGCACCTGTCGTCTCAGCTACTTGGGAAGCTGAGGCAGGGGGATTGCTTGAGCCTGGGAGCTGGAAGCTGCAGTGAACTGTGATCATGCCACTGTACTCCAACCTGGGTGATAGAGTGAGACCCTGACTCAAAAAATAGAAAAAAAAAAAAAAAAAGATTACAAAAGGAGAACATAAGCAATCAAATTAATGATGGGCTTCATTTTTATTTAAAAAAAATCATCTGGCCAGGCACGGTGGCTCATGCCCATAATACCAGAACTTTGGGAGGCTGAGGCGGGTTGATCACCTGAGGTCAGGAGTTCAAGACCAGCCTGGCCAACATGGTAAAACCCTATCTCTACTAAAAATACAAAAATTAGCCGGGCGTGGTGGTGGACACCTGTAATCCCAGCTACTCAGGAGGCTGAGGCAAGAGAATCACTTGAACCCGGGAGGTGGAGGTTGCAGTGAGCCGAGATCGTGCCATTGCACTCCAGCCTGGGCAACAAGAATGAAACCCCATCTTAAGAAAAAAAAAAGTCATCTTGTGCGGATTTAGCAAAATGTTATGCTGGTGGTGGGCCATGAACTGACACTTGTTGAATGAGGATACACCCTTATCCCACACAATTCAGTCAATCCGCACCCTGTTATCAAATTTGTTTTCCAGCTCGTTATTTTTTCCATTTGAGATTAAAAATACAATAGTTATTATACTGAGCCCTTTGTATATACAGACTATCTTTATCCATTAGCCTCATAAATGAATAGGACGATTAGATCAGGCCTTACATCCTGTGGTGGAGTCTGGCTGTGCATTGATGTCCTGGCTTTGCCACTCATATTAACTAATGTACCCTTGGTCAAGACATTTCACATCTCTGAACCTCAGGTCCCTCATTCTAAAAAGGGGATCATAACAACTGTCCTGGTTGTAAACAGATAATGAAAGATGAAACTGTGGAAGGAAACCTTACATATGTGGCAGGTATTAAGTATTAGCACCCACACCAACCCATTTCACAAATGTTCTTTCCCCTGAGCCTTCTGGAAGACTTGTTTATTCCTCTAGCCTTTTGACAAGGTGGTTCCTTGTCCCTCCCCTGGACCCCCCCAATACCCAGGGAGACCTGGATCTCTCCCAAGGATACCCTGCTGAGTGAAGCCTCTGCTTATTTTCCCAGAAATTGACATCATTGTTCCAAGCTTCTTACTGCTTCCTCCACAATACTGTTCTTTCGTCCTCGGTGGGGAGAAACTCCATTGTGTTTATTTTTTTTGAGATGGAGTTTCGCTCTTGTCGCCCAGGCTGGAGTGCAGTGGCACGATCTTGGCTCACTGCAATCTCCGCCTCCTGGGTTCAAGAGATTCTCCTGCTTTAGCCTCCCAGTAGCTGGGACTACAGGCACATGCCACCACGCCCGGCTAATTTTTTGTATTTTTAGTAGAGACAGGGTTTCACCGTGTTAGCCAGGATGGTCTCAATCTCCTGACCTCGTGATCCACCCGCCTTGGCCTCCTAAAGTGCTGGGATTACAGGCGTGAGCCACCATGCCTGGCCGTGTTTATTTTTTTAAATTAATTGATTTTTTTTTTTTTTTTTTTTGAGACAAGCTCTCACTCTGTCGTCCAGGCTGGAGTGCAGTGGCACGATCATAGCACATTGCAGCCTTGACCTCCTGGGCTCAGGCGATCTTCTCGCTTCAGCCTCCCCTGGGACGCACGCCAGCACAACTGATAATTTTTGTATTTTTTGTAGAGACGGGATTTTGCCATGTTGTCCAGGCAAGTCACCAACTCCTGGACTCAAACTATCTGCCTGCCTCGGCCTCTCAAAGTGCTGGGATTACAGGGGTGTGCCACGGCACCAGGCCTCCATTGTGTCTTGAAAGGCACTGGACATTTATTCTGCAACCTTCTCCCTTTCCTTGTCAGTCATCTATTAGTTTCAGACTCACTACCCACCCTGCAACCCCAATTCTCTAAAGTTCCTTGACCTCGATTGACTCCTCCACCTCCTGCCATCCTTTTGGGACCCTCGATGTCCAACACGCCAGCCTTGTGGGCACTAAACCCAAGGCCAGTGATGCCCATCTCACTTTTCTATTCCATTGTAGCTGCTACACCCCAAAGTGTCTTATTTCCTGGAATATCCATTTGAAGGCCTGAACTCCAGCACCACACTCTGGGGCCAGTTTGCCAGTCATCTCCTCAGAGGCCCTGGCCTTGGAGCCCTTCTCTCATCTGTCTCCCAGTCTATCAGCTCCCCACTGGTTTTATTAATAGTTCCTGTCCTCTAGGACTAGAACTCTGGCCCATCACTGCAATCACAGTCTTTCTGTGTCCTCCACCTCCTCACCCTCTTGTCCTTCTACTCTATGCAAGCGGGAAACTTGGGTTTTATAACTAAGCTATATTTCTGTAGATACCTTGCCGGATTATAGCTGGACACCACTACACAATGATGGTTTCTAAACTCCACTAGGTTTTCAGTGACTCTTGACTAACTTGTCGCTCTAGCATCTCACACTGGTTATGCAACATTTCCACCACTTTCCTAAAATCTTCCATCTCACTTCAGACCCTTCTATTGTCCATGTTAGCTTCCTTCAATGGTTTGCTTCTTGCCTTCACCCGAAAAACCTGCTGTATCCGTTCCCAGCACCAATCATCCTCCAGTGCTTTTTTTTTTTTTTTTTTTTTGAGACAAAGTCTCCTCTGTCGCCCAGGCTGGAGTGCAGTGGCCCGATTGCGGCTCACTGCAACCTCTGCCTCCCGGGTTCAAGCGATTCTGCGATTCTCTCTGCCTCAGCCTTCCGAGTAGGTGGGATTACAGGCAGGTGCCACGACGCCCGGCTAATTTTGCATTTTTAGTAGAGACAGGGTTGTACCACGTTGGCCAGGCCTGGTCTTGAACTCCCGACCTCAGGTAATCTGCCCACCTCGGCCTCCCAAAGTGCTGGGATTACAGGCGCGAGTCACCCGAAGAGTGACTTTTTAGAGTATTTGGGCCGGGTGCAGTGGCTCAAGCCTGTAATCCCAGCACTTTGGGAGGCCAAGGCAGGCGGATCACCTGAGGTCGGGAGTTCGAGACCAGTCTGGCCAACGTGATGTAACCCCGTTTCTACTAAAAATGCAAATTTAGCCAAGCGTGGTGGTGGCGCTCGCCTGTAATCCCAGCTACTCCGGAGGCTGAGGCAGGGAGAATCGCTTGAATCCGGGAGGTGGAGGTTGCAGTGAGCCGAGATCGCGCCATTGCACTCCAGCCTGGGCAAAAAGGGCGAAACTCCGTCTCAAAGAAAAAAAAAAAAAAAGTCACCCTTCCAAGCCTTAATTGCCTTCCCCCCTGCCTGCACCCCCGCAGCTCTTTGCTGCAGAAATATTGTTCTAGGGAACCTTACTGGTTCCAACAGACGGGTGGACCTCCCTCCAGACTGTGAGCTAGTTCCTCAAAGGCAGGCATTCTTTTTTCTTTTCCTTCTCTCCTGAGCGCTCCTGCAGTTCCTGGGGCGTAGTAGGGGATGCACAAACGTTTGTGACCAGTGAAGTTCTTTACAAGGGTAAGATCTGGACGGGAGGACTCGAGCGAGGGTCTCGGCTTGCCAGGAGGCCGGGGCTCTCCGGGAATTGTGGAGTTCACCCGCGCACTCGAAGTGCCTTTGCGAAGTGAGCCACGGGAGGGAGGAGCGGTCCCCGAGCTGGGCGAGGCCTGGGGCCCAGTGCGTCCAGAGAGGAGGGTGACGGGAGCTGCCTGTGCTGGAGGAATCACTTTTTAGGCGCTTGTTTTGGACCATTGCAGAAACCCGGGTGCAAACCCCAAGCTCACCAGCGTGAGTCAGCTGGGCCAGCAGCAGGGAGAGGGGAGGGTGGGCGAGGAGGGCGCCGCGCACCCCAAGGCCCGGGTGGGCGGTGGCAAGATCCTGGGGGCG